AAATTAAGAGCGCGGAAATTAACGCTGCACTTAATTATATTAGCGTCGCGGAAATTAACGCTCAACGAAAATAACGCGACTTAAATTCGTGCAACGTTAACTTCCTATAATAAGGTATAACTGATCTTCATGATGCAATCATCAGGTTTGGGAACAAGTGAGGTTCAGTTCGGTTGAAGGTTATAATTTGAATATATCAACAAAGTTGAAATGGTAAATTGGCCACCGTTACCGTAACGGTGGCCAATTTACCATTTCAGCTTTGTTGATATATTCAAATTATTTCGTTACCCCCACCGACGCAGTGCCAAACAGTTTCTTTAGAAACTATCAGCCTTTATTCGGTTGAAGGTTAGATGGGAGAGGAAATGAAAATATGACAAAACGTCTTTTTTTTTGTTTGTCAAAATTGAGGATTTATATTGCGCCGTTTCCATGACGGGATGATCAACTGCGCATTACAACAATGCATGGAATAAATACTAATTCCATCATTACAACAATGCATGAAATAAATACTAATTACATCATTACAACAATGCTTTGTAATAGATGCCAGTTACATCATGTGTAGTATAAAATATTAAAAGCTAAGCTAACTAAGAATAAAAGCCTTACTAAAAAAATGCGTTTTTAAGAGTTTTTTGAAAGTGTCGACAGATTTAGCCATTTCCGAAGGTAAATCATTCCACAGTTTCGGCGCCGAAACAACGAAAGCGCGGCCGCCTAGGGTTTTTAAAGTTTTAAAATTCGGGTAAGATAGCAATATTCCGTCATTAGAACGCAGTCCATATCTTGAATTTAAAGGCTTAATTTTGACAAGATCATTGCATAGTTAGTAGAGGGGACTGGTTAGGAAACGCGGCAAACTTCAAAGGGCCGGCCTATTGTCTGTCCTCTGAGCTTCGCTTGAACGTCACGTGACCAATGACCCTGCACAGAACCAAAACAACATGGAGGACATGAACGACTTATTTTTCTTCGGCGACGATTTTGATGCCATATTGGAAACTTTGGAAAACGAGGAAGAATTACAAGAGCACTTTGTCGAAGCAGCTGACTCTGTACGTCTTTCAGAAGCCTTTAAAACGTTATTTTCGCCCAAAAACTTTGTAGTTATTGATGCCCTTAGCAATGGCATCGGTCGTAGTACAACAACATATTTTTTTTACTGAAAGTCTTTCGATTTTTAGGTTC